GGTACATTGATTCACTCAATGTACCACGATCCCTCTTCGTAACATTCGACGACGAGGTATCACCCCGGGGAGAGCCCGGGAGTGACACAGGTGGCTTTGAGTCGGATGCGTCATCCGACTCACCAGAGTAGTCAACGACTAACTCTGGGTTAACATCTTCACGTGGCGAAGCGCTACGTGAACCTGCAACAGGCGTTGCAGGCTGATGTTGACTTCCAGCAGACACTAATGTGTCTGCTGGCTGAGGCTGTGAAGCCTCAGTAGCGGCTGCACACAGGCGTGCAGCCGAGCTCATAGCTGCCTTAGCAGCGACGCGCATTGACTTAGTCATAGCGTGAAAATTGTTGGAATAATAGAAAACCCAACAAGTGCTCCTTTCCCATAGTCACTAAACAGTCACTAATGTGACTGTTGGTTGAGGGGGGGTGATGTAACGGGGTGAGCCCGTTACATAATATTGACACTTATATGAAGTGTCAATAAAATATTATTATAACTAATAATATTTGACAATATTTTCTTTTCTTATAATATTGTCCTATATCTCCTTGAAGTTGGAGATGCCCTATCATTGATTGAGATGGGCCATCATATCAACCAACGCGCTGACCAATGACCGATGAACGCGCCCAATGAGTGGAGGGCAAGTTATCAACATACATAGTTGTAGTTTAATATAGTTAACATAGGTTATAACAGATTAGTTGTATTAGATAGTTAACTATATTAAATACAGTTCTCTTTTTCCCTACTTCTAAGCGTTTGTTTAATTGATTCCCTTCCTCTGCTCACGTGTACGTGAGGCAATTTAGGCACCTGCTTTCACTGTAATAAGTGAAAGTAGACTATACTCTTATCAGTATAGTCGGAGGGTGCCCCATTAAAATCGTGGTACTAATAATTAGTATTGGATCGCGGTACTAAATAATTAGTATCGGATCGCGGTACTAATAATAAGTATCGGATCGGAGCTGTAGTAATTCGAATCCATGCTCACGCTGGAGCCCGAGATGGGAGTGTTCGTCACATTCCATGTAGTGGACTTGTGTGCGCTGCGGATGGCATGCACAGGCATCACGGATGCCGCGCTTGCAGCTGACCATACGATCAGCGCGGTAATAATCAGCATTGTCGTGGTCGTGTGCGTTACAGGCAAAATGTAAAGTGGGGAGGCTGTTTGTGACCTTGACTGGCTGTCGGACTCTTGCATGTTGGAAGGGCAGACATCAATACCGTCAAACTCGCCTGGCTCTTGGATAGTAACCTTTCTAGCTGTATCGCGGAAGTATCCCAAGGGACCGAGCACATCGCGAACCGTATCATTATCGCCAATACGTGGGACAAAAACAGTGTTTACATTCTTTATGGATAATGAATGTCGACAGGTTGGTTTCAAGGAAATTAAGCTGGTGTTGGGTGTCATACTGTGGTGCATTTGCTAGCGCATTTGTTAAACAAAGCGCATAGTAGGAATTTGACTGATGTTGAATGATCTTATCAACCTATCAAGTTATTGTGAGCAGCATGTCCGAGTAAATCCACTCATATTAACTTGACGTTTGAGCTGATGAGGTCAGATGGACAGGACGGTAGTGATTTCCCGTCTATGTATGATCTGGATAGTACATGCGCAAAAAGAAAGCCACAGCCACTGTGGAATGTTATGTGCATGACAAATTTCATGTTTGGTTGTGGTGCTACTTCATTTACTTTCGGTGTTAAAGACATCGTTTGTTCTACATTGTACGTATCAAAAGCCAGAAGGTTCAAGTTGGACGGCTTTACAAAACGTAGGTTCGTCATTTGCTCAAATGGTTTTGTACAAACAGGCAGCATTATCGCGTTCGGCACCGGAGCTACCTCCGAGAGTGCGGGCGGCTATCACGCACGTGTTTCCCGACAACGCTGACATCGATGGCCGGGCCTGGAAATAATATGGCAAATAGCTTGCTCCGTCTGCGTAAACACGCTCCGGATTCAGCGGAACCGACGTATCCATTAGCACGAACGTGCGTTGACGTAGCAAGAGGTAGCAGAAATCAAACACGTCCTTCTTCGCCAACTCCGAATGGTCACTATCGAGGAACCACAAAGAGATAGGGATGTGAGTAATGGGCTTCTACCTCCCCTAGCAACGGAAATTTGTGAGGAGACCATCGTCAACCGGCACTGCACAGCCCTCGTAAGCATCTCCTGGGTACTAGAATGGCTGCGGACTTTCAAATATCTTGTAAGCCATAACGGCAAATAGACAGTCTGTTCCCACACATATTGGTAAAACATCAAATCACAAGAGCTACAGGGGAAGCCTGTCTTGCAGCCAGCGTTCCGTCCAGCGCCTACAACGGGTACAACACTCGTTTACAGGTGCGCCACCGTCCGCACACAGAAACGCGGCGCTTTTAGCACCTGTCGTCGTTTCTCTAGCTGCCTCAGCGCGTATCAATTATACCAGAAATTGCAAGAGCTCAAAGCTGGCACATGCTCTAGAACATCTTGTCCTTGGCTCAGCCCAGCAACATGTTAGATGTTCAGCACTGGAACAATAAAGCAAATGCTTGATGGTGCTGCAGACACAGCGGCTAACATTGCTTAAGTCTTGGACTTGTTTATTCGCTATTCAAATGCATTGTAGCTGCCGCTGGTATGCTGGCGGGAAAGTATTAATATATCCGAACAGGGTTCTTATTGCGCGAAGCGATGTTTGAGCTATGTCTCAGCGCCAAATAAGTGGGCAACGTTACGTCAACTGTATGTACGCAACCGAGTCGCTAAACCCGCGCTGCGGCACGTACGAGGAACGGCAACTGCTTCTTAAGGCTCACTATTGTCGCCATGTGGAGATAGTTAAGGGCTGAATATGATTATAAGTACAAAATGTGTATAGTAATGTGTAAATGTATGTATGTAAACGCGTTACCGAGCCGTCTTGCCACCAAAGTGGCTCAACTTCTACATGCGTCGGATTATTTCTCACTCTCTCCATCTGTCTCTACTCTCGCCAGGGTCCAGTAAGCAGCGCGCGCTATAAGCGCCGCGCTAAAGACCTTCCAAGCTGCACGATCCTGTGTACACAGACGAACGAAATACAGTCTGGGGCCAGTCAACGGCGATGTCCAGCGGTAGGTTCCTTCCTTGAATCCCTTGGATGTCTATCTTGTCAACAGGTCTAACCCTGGGAGGGTCTCTTGTTGCTTGCACCGAGAACAAAGGATTACGCCAGCGTAATTAAGCGGAGATGCCAAGACTTCGGGACTTCGAGCGTGGCGGCGTACATCGTGGCGGCTTGACTGGCGGCTAGGGGTGAGAGGAGCAAGAGAGAGGTGTGTCGAGAAAGAGGACCGTCAAAAACTAACGGATGCCGCGAAAGCATCCGTCAAAGGCCTGAGCTAGCACCGAGCTAGCTCAAGCTAACTTAAGCCTTCCGGGAGGGCTTTACCCCACCCGACCAGGATGGGGTCATGTCTTGGGCATATATCTCGCGCGGCCACCGATAATGCGGACAGCAGACCAGGAAAAGATACTGGCCGGTGGTGATGCATAAATATATTCATACATAAATGTGCTTGCGACAGACAAGTCACAGACCAGATGTGTAATTTAATGCAAGTGCGAATGTAAAGAACACAGCTGCAATGTTTTATCGACATCTCGTATTTTAATGGTAACTCGTAACACTGTAAATTCAGCTCTCCGCGCCTTGCGCATGCCCTCCTATTTACGCATCTCGAAGGTTAATTCCAGAACCGACGTGGCCAAAACTTGTCTTACTTGACTTTGTTCCATCTGTCGGATATCTACGTGATACTCTGCCCTACTTATATGGAATTGGTATTATCTCTATTTACGTCAGTACGATCATGGTACTATAAGACAACAATCATGAACTTGAGAATATCATGAAATTTTTCGATAATTTGTGCAATTGTAGCCATGTTTAGTAAGACCATCATTTTGTTCTTCATTATGCAATGATCTCAGCAATCATTCTCCATCCCGTTCGAATTCCAAATAGAGATCATCTTACAGCTGATCGCGTACTTGCAAGCGAAAATCGCAGCACTTTGTGCCGAAGATAGGAATAAGAATACATTGGGTGTTGTTGTAACTGTTACTAAAGGGAAAACACTACTTTTAAAGGCTCAATTTGGTCCTCTTTTAGTTGTTTGGAGTCCTAAACTTCGTTCATTTCGTCGGATGCAGCGGGACTTCGAATCAGATAATACCGGTACTACACTAGATTACACACCTGATCTGGATCCCTCCAGTTTTTTAAACTTGAAGTGATTAACCAATCGAAAGCTTGAAGTTAGTGTAGCGGTTACCGGGAAAAGTTTCTAACATTTTGACACGGGCAAATATAGTGAAAAGAGCGAGATGGTTTTCCTTACAACGAAGCGATCCCTGAGACTGTGCCCTTTACATTTCTAAAGATCTGATTATTATTTTTAAGTCACTGTTTGTCTATGCAAGTGCTTTCGAAAAACATGTCTTACTAGTGTCGGTTCTGAGCCAGCCATTATTGCTCTTCTAAGATTTGCTAATGACTTGGAAGCGAGGTGTCACGGTATTTTTACGAACCTCGTTACTTCCTTGCAGACTTCTGATCCTAAATCTGGTTTCAGGGATACACTCACTCGTTTCTGCATGAAACTCGCGATGAGTGGGGGTCAGTTTCCACTGCACGGCGGTCTGCAGCACTGAAAGAGGGCAGAAACCGAACGAAAAGACTGTGCCAATGGTGTTTTCCAGTGCTTAGACAACGAAACTAGGGATCTTTTCCCCCCGCTTTTGTCCGTTGATGATATGCTTGCAGACGTGAACGTGCAACTGCTTCATTTTTCTTTCCCTTCTCGTGGCCAGTGCTGCAGCAGCATCGTGCTTTTTAAAAGTTTCGCTTTTTGTACCTCGAGTCTGCCAGCTTCGTCTCGAACAATGCTCATTCTGCAATTTGCCTTCCTCAAGTTCCTTCCTTCAGAAACTCTCCTTCACCCCACAAGATGAACACGTACTTCACGTTTGCTGTCGCCGCTCTTTCCATCATCTCTTCAGTGTACGCCGAGAAGACCTACAGTCAGATGGATTGCATGCCAGAAGAAACTCAAAAATCCTATTTAATCCTGTCGCCTATGCTCTCGGATGTTAACCTTGATACGTGCTCCAAGAAAACGAATTACAACTTTATGTCGTCAACGAGTTTGCCATCGGAAAAAAAGACCAAGGAAATGTGTGCTGCGAAGGAATGCGTAATGCTCATTGACAAAATCAAGGCACTAGGCCCGGTTGACTGCAAGGTGCTAATTCCTACGTCCAATTTGAAGGTCAACATCCTCGAAATGACTTCCACTTTTGATTCAAAATGCAAGACGAACGATCATTTTGGTGTGCATGCTTATGAGGGGTAAACGCGTGGCAAGCCTCTTCCTGCGTGCTAAGAACTGTTTGTAACTCGCGGCGTCTAGCAGTTGATTTGCTTCCATCTACCATCGTTGATAAGAGACACTTGTGCTACACTATAGATGTTAACTGCTTACTAATGAAGCACACCATTTGAATTTCTCAAGCAGCTTGTTGTAAACATGTTAAGTTTATATACACGACTCGCTTCTTCCATCATTCTTATATAACTGCCACATCAAGAGACTTCCACGTGCAAAACAAATCATCATTTCAAATATCCTTATGTCCCTTTGCCTTCCAAAGTTATATACTAATAAGAATACCTCCTCGCTCATCGAACAGGTTATTCACAACGCTCGTTCTTATGCTCTTCTTGCTACTACTCATGTCCGTATAAGATGGTAGAAACCTCGAATGGTAAGTCATAAGTGCTAGCTTTCGCCGGTTTTTTGACTTTCTTACTCCAGAAATTCCGCCATTTCGCCGAAGTCGTAACTCCTAGTTTCCACGCGTGAGGTGCTTGTTTCAAACTCGTATCGCTCGTTATTGGTAAGACCCAAAAGGTCGCTTATGCATCCACCAATTCCAGTCCATCTGCTGCAGACAAAAAATAGTCCCTACTTCACACCACGATATCCTTTGCCCCGACGAAGTCCAAACTCTGCGTTGTTCCACTCACTGCCACCTCCAAATCCTATGCGAGCATCACTGACCTGCTGCCCTGTTCCTTGACTACCGTAGTTCACGTTAGCGCGAGGAACGGGACCAAAACTGGGAATGCCCTCACTGGAAGGTCCATCACTCATAAAATCATCACGCTCCATGTTTTGCAGCACAAGACGCTTCAATTCGGTCTGTTCCTTCTTTCCAGCATTTTCCTGACGGTAGCTATGCTGAGCCAAAGACGATTCTTCTGGCACTACTAAAGCGCGCGCCTCCACTTTGCCTTTGTTACCGCGACGGAGCATGCGGAACACCACTCCATCGGAGGACCCGTTTGAGTCAAGAGACATTACTCCACGAGAGCCTGCGGGCGTAAAAGCAGCCGAGCTCTTCACTACGGTGGGGATAGCCATCTTGTCTACGTTTACTCTCGCCGAGGCCTTGCGTGTGTCAGAGGTCCCATGCATCATCGACTTGAACGCCTTCTCAAACTCGTCATCGTCCTCACCTTTCTGAATGCGGTCGTGGATTATAAAGTGCTCCTCTTCGTCTTCGTCTTCGTCTTCTTCCTCCTCCTCCTCCTCGTCGTCATCGTCATCGTCATCGTCTTCATCATCCTCATCACCATCATCACATTCAGCGTGATAGTCATCTTCATGTTCATCATCATCGTCGTCGTCGTCGTCCGAATCGTCCTCTTCATCTTCGAAAAACTCTTCGTCATCATCTGCTGGCTGTGACATTGGTCCCTCCTCTGCTACGCTCTCGAGGCCATTGGTGGCCATCAGCAATGCCGCATTCTTCTTCGACAGCCGACGCTCAGCTTCTTCCAAATCGCCGCAAAGAATCTCTCGGACGGCCTCATCAACCGCCTCCCACGTATCAAACCTTTTAAAATGGTCTTTCAGACTGCTAGCTAGCATGTCGAACAGATCGAACACGACAAAATCGGTTTCCATCGGCACATCTGTCTTGGAGAACAGATATCGTTGAAAGAAGATCATGAAACGCCCGAGGCGAGGTCGAGAGATACCTCTTTCGCTTAAAGTACCATTGTTAATCGGCACGCTTGAAGCTCCACTGCCGTTACAGGTCTCAATTAAGGCGCTGACCAGACGGACGCGAAACACTTCACTCGGGCCGTCAACTTCGCTTGGTACACGAGGGTCGTACCGCATGTCAGGGACAAGCAGAAAACGCTTCTTCATCTCCAATAACTGAGCTGATGCGATTTTGTCGCTGCTGTACTGTGTCAATGTCAGCAAATCGTGCGAGTGATTGATCAGTAGATACAGGGTTTCCACTACCACATTCATGCTCACAAGACCACAGTTGTAAATCTCTCCTAAGAGCTTAACATATCCCAGGCTACGCTGGTGATCGCGATAATCGTTTATTTCCAATCCGTACCGAATATGCTCCAACACGTCGTCCACAAGCAGCACCAACACTTCATCATGATATCGGGAGAGACCCTTCACCACCTCGCATATCCATTTCATCTGCATCACCTTGCCTTTTGTAACCTTCAGCAAAGCTTTCAAGACCATTGCACAGGTGTTGTTGTCTTGCCATGGCAGCCGGCGAAGGGTTTTCACAACCTTGTTGACGTTTGAGCCGTTAAGATCTTCATACAGCACCTTAATTAGGAACAAGTACATTGGGTCGTACTGTTTCACTTGACGCTCCACACGCTCAGGAGGCCTACACATGTAGTACGCGTTCTCCACAAGAGTCTCCAGCTGTGGATCCAAATGCTTAGCTGCCTTGAGCCTCATCATGACATTTAGGCAGTTCACCGTGCGCACATGCGTGTGTTTTGAGCAGTACAAGAATCGGCCACAGTTCTCGAGAAAGGTAGTGGCGACGTGAACGTTATGCCCCTGGAAATCCTGGAAGCATTTTTGCAAACAGCGAAAGCCTGTATTCGGTGGGCAGATCCGAAATTTCACCAGTTCTGCCAAAAAACGGATGTTTTTGATCTTTGATTCAAGACGAAACTGGTTGCGCCGTTTAATCAGACCATGAAATTCGCCCACGAGCATGTTCACAAGCTCTCCCCCAATATCTTCCTTTAGTACGCTCTGCAGTGTGGCTACGAGGCGCGAATAGTGAGCCAAGAGCTCTAGATGGGTCCGCGGCACAGCATACAGGGCCTTCACGAGTCGGTTTCTTGTTGCCTTTGAGTTGCGGTAGCAAAATTCGACCGCCGCCTTATCGCAACGATCTCGATTCACCAAATCTTCAAGGGAAGCGAAAAATGCGTCCAGTTGATGGTGATAGCTGTTGGTTGCTCCACTCGAAGAAGCAGTAGTGACATTTGTACTCGCATTATCCGTTCCTTCCCTCACCTTGCTTTCCTCCTCGTCTGCATTACTAACTACGGGATCCTTAAGCGCAACAGCCTCTTGACTGTCCAGTGCATCATCAACATCCCCACCTTCTTTCTCGTCGTCATCTGCATTGGCCTCGATTTCTTCTTCCGACTCATGTTCTGTTTCTGCCTCTTCGTCTGCACAAGCCTCTTTCTTCTTCTTCAATTCGGCAACATCGGCCTCGGTGAGTCCTAACACTACCGCAGGCACTAAATCCAATAGATCCGGCAAATCTTGATAAAATGAGCGTGTGGCTTCATCATCAAATGGTCCGTCACGACTCACTTCACGTCCTCCGCCATCTCCACCTTCCCAGATGAGAATATTTCCACTACCAGACCCATCATCCTTCTCCTCCTCTGGCAGTGGTGGTACTTCTCGATCTAGCGCATCCGCCAGTGAATTGACGCTCGTCTGCAACTTCTCAAACAAGAGCTTGGCATTCTTAAGCTCTTGCACATGTTCGTCCGTCACTTCTCCCCGATTGGCTTCTTCTTTTTCATTCCTTGCATCAAGTTTCAGAAACGTTGTATGTTGTGCCAAGTAAAACTTGCAGATCTTTTCGTATGCTTCAAGATAGCAATTGAGACACTCAATCTGTACAGTTTTGGGTACTACTGACGTCTGATTGTTCACAAATTTGACAAACTCTTGATTATTTTCCAGTAATTTCTCCATTTCTTTGTATTTCTTGGGCTGAACACCGAGAAAGTCAACACCAACTGATTTGGCAAAGCTCACGAGCAATGGCACTTCCAATTGCTGTGACGAAGAAGAAGAAGAGGTTCCTGAGATAGTACTACTTGAAGACATAGTACTTTTGTTTTTCTTCATCGCTGGCTGTTCTCGGCGTGCCACTCTCTGGATAATCTGTGCAATAGCCTGGACATCATCAAAGACACCAACTAGATAGAGTTCGCTTAATAAGCGAAGAGTAAGACGACGTTTAAGCATCTTGTTCCTATCATCTGAAGTGTAAGAGGCTTCAAAGCTGCTGACTAATGCACGGACGATTCCAGGTGCAAATTCATCGTAACGTTGATGTAACAATGATGCCACTTTAACAGCAGCTCCTAGATCCACAAGTTTAAGTGGTGCATCAGCTAACGCTGCAACACATTCACTCACATAGCGTGTAAGGTTCAGCTCGGCTGCCTCGCGCAACAACGAGTCCGCGTTACATTCGGACAACACGCGCAACTTTTTTACAAATGCGGATGACCGTTTTATATCCGATTTGAGCTTTAGACTGGAGAGCTGGGCACGCACAGACGCGACGTTGACAGCACTATTGGCAGTACGTAGAGACTGACGCGCAGTGTAATGTCGCTGGAGATCGTGGAGTTGCGCCAGCGCTTGAACCTGCGCGTCGGCGTCTTGGGTCATCGCTTGTTCTTTGATGGGACACATTATAATAATCGTAGATGCTTTTATTTTAACCAATCAAACATTATTTTATCGTTTTGCCTTACAACTACTACTGCTACTACTACTACTACTACTACTACGAAGTAGTACTCGTTGATGCAGTACTACTACATGATTGTATCACCACAAAAATAATATATTTTATTAATGAGGACAGTTTCAAGGTGTTGTTGTCTATTGACTTGTGTCACAAAACAAGATGGATAGTACTGTTTAGTCAACGAGTTATGCGGCTGTATCGGGCGCTTGCGGTTTCCGGCACACGCGCTTGATAAACTCGTATGACGTGACCATGAGAATGCCCGACGGACCCATTGCCAATAATCGCTGTAGACAAACAAGTAATATAAGTTAGCCTTGTAAACGCTTTCATCAAGCTAGCATTGCAACGTACCGCAGAGAGACCAGTCATGAGGCCCATTGGTCCGTCGGTCTTTAAAATATACTTGACAGTATCCCTAGCACCATACTGTGTATAGGTCTGTGCTTTTGTTCTCACAATGTCCATAGGGTTTGTCAAAATTCCTGTGATGATGCCTGCACTTGCACCGCTCATTCCCTGCGCCAACACTGCCACCAACCAACGGCAAAAGAAAACACATCAACCACGTCCGTCAACCGTCTCAGATATCGGTAGCACACCACATCATCGTACCTTGTTTCCAAAACGGATCTGTGGCCCACTCCTTCATCAATTTATAGTACACAGGCACAAGAAGTCCATATGATCCCCACCAAATCGAGGAAGACGGCGCGTACGTCGCGATGGACGGCACGTATCCTCTATAGAACCCTCGGATGCCTTCAGTATGGAACACCTGCTTGGCCACCGTGAAAAAACCTTTGGTAGACTCCCGTGTCTTGCGTACATCTTGTCCCTGGCCACTAAGCATCATGCGCTGCGACACGATGTCCAGCGGCACCACGACTGTCTGCGAGACGAGGGACGCAATAGCTCCTCCAACAAAGTTAGCTCCTTTTTCGCCCGTCTAATACAACAAAACATGAATGCAGCACACATAAAATAGTAATAGCAATAACCACATTAATATTATAGCAAGTCAATAGTAATTGCTGAAGTCCCTACCGTCGTATGATCCTTAAAAACTTTACGTGATTTCTCATAGACAGAAATATAGAGATTGCCTGTAATTACATTAGCTGTACTAGCTCCAAATCCTTTGTATAGTCCACGAGTTCCTTCTTGTCGAATTATCGTCGCAAATGCATTAAATGTGCCTGAATAAAGTGGTTTGTGCTTCGATTGGACTTGTAATCGCGTCTTGACCAAATTACTCGGGTACACGGCAGCACGTACACCGAGAAAAATAGTAGGACCGACAATATAATACTTGAGCTTGTCAATTTCATCCCATGAAATGTCATCTACGGTATATTCGTCTTCCGACGTCGTAACTACGCTGTCCATGGTGTCACCCCGACGCGTTAAGTAATTGGCAAATTACATCCAATCCAAACAATGTATTTGTCATGACTTTAACCAATGAAAAGATACAAAAAAATTATAAAATGTATTTGATTAAGTTAATTCTGCACCAAAAGATATTGTAACCAGGTTACGCTGGATACTTTCGCCCACTTCGATGACGATCGACGTAAGCGACGAAGAATTGCTTGTTGGATGGAAGCCACGTCTCGGTCTACTGTCCGTAGCTGAAAAGGTACAGCAGGCAGAATTACTCAAGCGTCATGGTAACCTATTAGTTAAACAAAATGAGTTTAAGCGTGCCTTGACATCATATGCCAAGGTGTTTGCATACGTGAACGGGTTATCCGTGGCCGGCGATGCCATGTCTCAATACGCACAAGGAACAGCCGGCATAACAGCTACAAAGGAAGAAAATATACAGATTCAAGCTATAAAGGTGGCTGTGTGGGCTAACATGGCGCTGTGCCACATCAAGCTCGGGACGCAGCCGGACAAGGCGTTGAGCTGTTGTGACAAGGTGTTGGATGTCGAGCCACAGCACAGTAAAGCACGCTTTCGAAAGGCACAAGCAATGGTGCAACTTATGCAATACGAGCGTGCTTATCAGCTGCTGAGTGAGCTGCTGGACGAGGAGCCCAAGGATGCGGCAGTACGCAGTGAAATTCGTGTGCTGCAGGCCAAGAAACGCGCGTACGACGCCGAAGCCAAGGCCAAGGAGAAGACTGCATTTGGCAATATGTTCAAGTAGAGAAAGTATTGGTAATGAAGAAAAGAAGAAAAAGAAAGAGGGAAGTTAATGCAGATCTCTTTGGTTGGATTCAAGTGCTAGTTAGATTTTTTATGACTGAAAGAGATGTGGCAGCACGCGTGACTTGATGACGTCCATGAAGTGCGAGTAGCTGTGGCCAAAGTGATTTTCCACACACGGGATCACCAAGTCTGACACCTCGACGTTCACGCAGTTGGCAGCAGATGAAGCAGCAAAGGCGATCGACTCGCAACCAGCAGCAGCAAGGCCGCTTGGTCCTGGCAGTTGCAGTGCCCAAAAGAGTCTCGACAGCACTCCGTCCCGAGATGAGAAGACGTTGACGAACTTGCCTCCGTTTGGATCAAGGGCACTAGAGATGTTGTCAAGGCCTTTCTTAGCGTCAGGAATGAACGCACCGGCAAAACTCACGGCGTTGGTGATCAGTGGCAGACCGTCCCCTTTCTTCTGCGCTCGTAGCTTAGCCATCTCCTGAAAGGTGCTATAGATCACGGCACCTCCCAATGAGTGGCCGAACAATGAGATTTTGCGGCCTCGCAGTATTGCAGGACGCTCGGCCAGTACATGCGCGAGCAACACGCCCACCTGCTCTGCTTTGCCTTGAGCACTGTGCCACGGGTTGTCTGCGAATTGCGCGACCATGGATGAGACCGACGAGCTAGCGAGATTGTCATTCACGTGCGAGCAAAACTCGTTCCAGGCGGCAGAATCGCCGGCCTCCCACTGCACGGCGAAGACAGCAGCATCCTGTTGATTGTCTTGTGTCCACACGCGCCAGTTGCGCGTCGGATCGTCGCTCTGCGTCATAAAGCCATTGATACAGAGGACTACGTGGCGACAAGTGGCCACATCTCCGCTTATCAGTTGCAGTTGCAGCTTCTGCACACGCCGTTTTCGCTTGGCCGTGTTCAAAGTGACCACGGCGCCGTCAAATGCGCTGGCCCACAGCGTCGTCGGCTTCGTGGTCAATGTCAAAGCGGGCGCTGGGCGGAGCCAGGCATTTAACGCACCTAAAGCGCCGCCTACAGCCACCGCAGTCAGCTCCGAGTTGCCCATCGACTCCAGTTCCTGCTTGTTGCATCGCAGTCGCACACGCTCGATGGTCACGTCTGCGTCTTGCACCAATAGCGACGATACACGCTCGCGGATGGTTTCAGGTAACGTGGAGGCGGAGGCAAGAGACGTCTCATACTCCTTAAGCTGATCGGGCGTCAGTAGTCCACGGTGTTGGAGTTCACGGCAATCGGCAAGCAAGAGGTCGATCTCCGTCATGTCGATCGGCATGTACGCACACAATGTCCACACTTATTCACGTGCGTCTTTACGCGCTGACGTTAAAGTGCCTGATTGATGCCGTAAAGAACTGCCCAACCATTCATTGGCTGTTGGCTCAGTGTGCAGCTTCGTGCATTTATAGACAGCGTGTCCATCGCTCAAGTACGCGACGCAAGCAACACCCTGCATATTGGACCTGCATCTGGACCAATTTACAGGGTGTTGCTTGCATGTGGTCACGAGCGAGCACGAGATGGAGTTAAAGGGTTGCTGCGGCCGTGGTTGTGCTGCTTGATCGAATAGACAAGCCGCTTGTATCGTTGCCGTCGTTGCTATCTGCCTTGAGCTGGCTCACTATATTTCATCGACATCCCCTACAGATTGGCCTTACACACGTTAAGAATCTAATAAGGCCTTGAAATTCGCGCTTGCTTGTTCATAGAATGCAGCTTAACCTTGGGTTCTTTTGTCTGCCAAAGGTACAAGGATCATTCTACATTGTCGCGCAGATTGTTTAAGCGTCATCGATCATGCTTCTGGAAACTCACTTTACTCCAGGCAAGACTGAATGATCGCAGAGTATTTAGACTAGTTAAAGTCCACCGAAACTCTCCTTTGCCTCGTAAACTCTCGGTAGCGCCACTTTTACAGCTACTGCATGGTGTTTGAGTCACTCAGTCATTTGCTGTGCGGACACAATGTAGTGGCGATGTGCTCTGGATTTGACACTGTTGCATCAAATCTGATTAGCTCTTGATGATTTTGGCGTCAAGGCTATAGCTCTTCGAGCAGCAAAATCTATACGCTTCATTCTACTATAACATTACGGGCAAGAGTTTGCGGCCGTGATTTTGAGCTGTCAAGCAAATGCTGCACATACTGTAAGTGTCATCCAGCCAGTATTGTCAATTACAGTAAATTGAATAATTGTATTATATCTAGTCGTTGTGTAAGTTGGATAATACAATTATCCAACTTACGGATAATACAATTATTCAACTTACGGATAATACAATTATTCAACTTACGGATAATACAATTATTCAACTTACACAACGGTCACTCCCCAATTTGCGGCGCAGTGATCAAATCTGGTCACGTTGGAGTATAAAAGGAACGGTCTTCATGCTTAAAAGAGAGAGCGTAATGAGGCCGCCCTACCTACCTCCTCCGGGAGGGGGGATGAAAAGGCCGAGTCGACAACGACGACAGGGAACGGCCCAGCCAACGGACAGGGCGTCGTCGACGACATACTGGACGACAGCTCAAACCGAGGCGCAGTTCTGGCGGCAGTGGCTATTCGGAATGACAACGGCGCCAAGGGTGCCGTGGAACCTGGTGGATCCATCTTCTCCGGCCAGGCTGTATCTCCGGCATCGGAGGTTACGGGCCATGGTGACAGTGAATCTACCACGCCTCATCATCCGGTAGAGCCGAGCAGCAGACATGCGCAACAGAAACAGGCAGTGACAGTGAAGGGTCCACCCGATACAAGGGAGGCTTCATCGACAATAAGGGGGGCAGAGGATCCAAATGACAGAGCTGGAGGATCTGTTGCCGCAACCCAGACAGCACAAACCGGCAAATCACCAGGAGCGCAGGCGCCAATTCCGCTACACGCAACGTCGGCGGAAATGTTTACGGCTCTAGTGGAAGACATGATCGACTCGCCCAATGTGGGACAGGTCGACGCATGGTGCACGACAGTGCGACAGTTGTTTGCGGACATATACAAGACAGTCCCGTGTAAAGCGGAAGCACTGCCTACTGAAAGGAAACGCTTTCCTACCCTGAGCGTAGCGGAGACGGCAAGTCTGCTGGGCCTGTTTGAGCAAGTCTTTGTTAAGGGCAAGGGGAGCTTTGCGGAGTGGAAAATCATGGCAAAGGCCATCACGCATGAATTATTGACTACAAAGTGGGCGTTTAAGGAGATTATCCGCCGTCTAGCCAGCAAGCATAAATGGGCTCATGCCCCCGTTCTGAACCAGTGGACTCAGGTAGTCCAACATGGAGAGTCATTACCACGTCGGCAACCGGAGCGCGCCAGTTCTCAGACCTTTGATGATTTCATGTTTAATCCCGAGAAGTTCACATGCGCAGAAATTGAACGATTCAAAGCGATGTGTGCAGCGCCCGCAGCCCCGTCAGGACATCATCAAGTACGGGCAGGTACTGATGATGAATGGGCGATAATCGTCGGGTTGGTTGAAGGCACGGTGGCATGTCGTCGTATGCCTGCCTTTATCAAACAAGTTCTTAAGAGTGAGGAACGGCTACGTCTGTACAGCACGATCCAGGCTCAAGTGGAAGGTGAACTAGTTTTACGGTTGGATAAATCCCGAGCGGTTAAAGCGAACAGGCAGACTACAAAAGCAATTACGGAGGCAATATTGGAGTCGGCGGAACTTGCACGGATCAATCTTCATGCGCTACATCGCATGTTAAGTCAAACGAAGACGATAAGCTACGACCAAGTCACGAAATCGATTCACTTTTATTTCTTTACTAAGGAGACGGCAGAACACCACAAAGAGGTGCGAGTACCGTATTACGGTGGCGTGTACCAGCTCGTCAATGCCCACAGGCCAGAGAAGGGGTCGGTTTGGCTTCGGCAGAAAGGTCTTAATGGGACACCTACCGGGCGACGGGTGGAATACACGGTGCAGTTGCACAACCTTACCCGATTTAATGATATTGGGCGAATTGCGGCCTATTTAAAGGCAAAGATTCCAACGGAGTTTGACATGGAAGATATGGATACGCATACCCCGGATTCTCGGACGTCTACAATTTGGAGAGTCACCTTCAAACTGGCAGGATGCCCGACATTTTTAAATGGGGTGGTTCGGGTACTTTGGTTTGGCACAACCATCATCGTTAAACACCCAAACGTTGGCCACCGCATACAATGCCTGCAGTGCGGAAACCTGGGGCACACCCTAGCGCGATGTCGGTTCACCGACGATCAGTTGCAGGGACCTGGTGGTATTGTGGTGACCGAAGCGGATGTTCTTGATCTCGCCGACTTAGCCAAACCGTTTTCGAGTATCGCAGAAATTAAGGCTATGGCGGTTCAACGGCTGAAGCTCCAAAAGGAAGCGGATGGGGCGGCCCAAGCAGCTGTAACACCGACTCGGGCCGTCGACGTCACTGAGACTTCTCCAGGGCACACTCTACCAGTGGTTCATGGGACGAGCAGCGCTCCTCAGGCAGAACAAGGAGCTAAGTATGTCCACCTGCAACCGGAACCATCCCCCCCCGCGCAGCAACCGTGGCTCACGAAGGCAGACAAAGGGGGGCGATCACAATCACAGTGGGTAAAGAAAATGGTTGCAACTGCTGCCTCAGCATCAACGTCCGGAGTATATCAGGTGCTCATGGAGGACGACGACGAATCGGAAGGAAAAGTTGACACTAAGCGCAATAGCGTGGCGAAACCTTTGAAGTCACCTGTGGTCGATTTGACGACGGAATCTAATAAAGGACATGGCCACACCGAAAGGTCTCGTCTTTCATCCGACGACAAGCACCGAAAATCGGCAGCGACAATGCGCGGCCCAGCACCGGCTGCAACGGGACCCGTTATACTAACGCACAAGAAGAAAGAGAGAAAGACTTTTCAAAAGCTAGTCACCGGGGAGACGGTCACGAAATTTCCATCGCTGCCGATGGGCGCAAGATCGACAACTTCACCAGCAACATTGGCAGAGGTAGAAGTTCAGTCGGGAGTCCGTTCGGTCGTCACGCCGGCGACTGGAAATTGCATGGCTATGGCAATAGTACAGGCGGCAGCAGACGCAACTTTGGACGGACCAGGAAACACACTGGAGCTGCTAACTGCCAGCCTTAAACGAGGCATCAAATTTTCAGGGCTGTTAGATCTAGAAGGTCAACTCGCCCATGACCATCGAGTGCAGGCGCTTGCTAATGTTAAGCGAGGATGGACCTCCATGACGAGACAAGAGTCGGCCACACAAATGCGATGGTTCCTCGAGGATTTTGCTAACAGCTCTTCCAACAGAGCAGTGGAAGTAAGTGACGACACTTGGGGGGGAAGTGACACGGTCGGCATGGCAGCTAATTTTTTGCAACGGAAAATTTATATACTGCAGCAATCAGATGGCCCGAAACAGGGGTGGCAGTGCAAAAATTTATACCAACCACGATCACACGCAATCGACGAGTTTTAGAGACAGCTGCGGAATATACACTGTCACTGATGGATTTAATAGACGAAGTCGTGGCAGCCAAGATCGAGAATCCCGGACAACCACCCCTGCTGCTGCATTTCTGTGGACGACATTACTCGGCGCTTCTCCATACTGGTCGCACCAGACAGCTCCCAGACTTTGCGGAGGAAGTGGAATGTAAGACTCCGGTTTCGACTGAGGACCTTCCTGCGGTAACGCACGCAAACTCGAGTAAGCCACACCTAGCGCTGAGGACGGCACCGGTGGATGCTCCGATGGAAGATCCATGGGACCCAGATTCTTGTAATGGTACACCAGACGCGGCTTGGGCCGCGTTACAGGGATGCTCGGTGCACCCCGATTTACACCACGATCTCCACGTGCTCTTTAGAATTGACGAGCCAACGCGGTCTCGGGACCTCATTAAAGGGGTAGTAACGGCAGCGATGACAATGGCACTGCCGGCTCAGCAACAGTTTGCAGCGGTATTAAGGGGGGCGGAAGGCGAGGAGGCCGAACTCGCTCTAACTCAGCGCATGCAGATTACGAAAGAAAGGTTGAGGTTTTGGCTATGCCAGCTTCAAGCGGCGGGCCACATGGCTCTTAACCTCGACCGTCGCTGTTTTCCTCCGGCCAGGGAAATCGCAGGTTTACTGACAAATGGCAACGGTCCTCATGATATGTCGAACACAAGCCGCACCTCAGTAGGGGAGTGTCAAGCTCTGGTACAGCACCAACCTACAGTGGGTCAAGATTTCAGTTCACTGGGCGTGCACGAGGTTTTACCAGCACTCCCCACCACGCCTC